GTATTGATCTTTTGTTGTGATTTGGGACAGCAACTAGTGTTCTATGAATCATCCCCGGCGGAATGTGATATTATTCGTGACTGACAATGGCATGATCTGTATTGATCTTTTGTTGTGATTTGGGACAGCAACTAGTGTTCTATGAATCATCCCCGGCGGAATGTGATATTATTCGTGACATCTCGCGAACATTTCCATCACATGTCTTCTTTCAACAACGCCATGGACCTGGACAGAGGTCCTTGTATAACGTTCTGAAGGCATACTCCTTGTATGACAAGGATGTTGGGTATGTGCAGGTAGGTGCATGTTTATCTCCTCCATCTCATGATTACTCCGCAAAGGCTTTTGCTCTACTCCGCTCAAAATGAAACTCGTGTCAGCTCACTCACAGATAATGTATTTTCTTTTCGTGTTTTGTTTTTTTACTGGCCTTCAACGTGACCGTTTGGTCACGGCTCCTCGTCGTCTTTCTGGAGGGTGTCGGATTGGTTTCTGTTTCACGAGCTGGTTCCATTCAGTCTTGTTTCTCGTTTAGCCTTATGCGTTGTTTAGCAAAAATGCTTGGTGATGTGTTTTCTGTTTACTGTGGTTAATTCTTTTGTATGTGCCATGTCTGTCATACACGTGTGCGGATGAGAGGCCTCATGTGAATATGTGAAGTAGTGGGAAATTTAAGGGAACTCAAGTGCAATGTGTTCTTGTCTGACATTCCAAAGGTTTACCTGACGTTATTTCAGAGCCGCTAAAACAGTTGGAGGACATGACTACCAGAAGATTGAGAAAAGATAGCAGTTGATTCAAATCGTAACCGTCCTACCCAAGTAACCCAGTGCAAAATTGTCTCCGATCTCGTGTAGTGCAAACGCCAATCAATCTTAATCTTAATTGTGTCCAGAAAACATTGGGCCTCGCGGCCCTCGCCGCACAGCGGGCGAAACAAAAAAAGGACGAGCGCATCTTCCTGCAGAAACTGGAAAGATTTGTCCGTTACCATGGATAGCAACGAATGCATCTGGTCACTTTCAGTGCACAGATGCACTCACCGTTTTGTTTTGTTTTTCCGTTTTATGTGCCTTGTGGCGAGGCTGATTGGGAAAAAAAGATATTTGAAATTTTGAATCCACCGATTGTATGTTAACCTAATCCACTATAAAATCAGTACAACATACCGCAGAACTGGTTTTGATCCCGTGTAGTCGAACCCAGTTTTAACTTTTCATAGTGTCCCTTTGTCAAGAAGATATCGTCTCAGCATCTGCGCGAAGTGGGTCTTTCAATTTTGAAATGAAATGAAATATTTCTGCTGTAATGTGTTATTAACTTATTATTCTAGAATCTAGTGTCATCCTGGATTGCGATCTGGTTAGGCCCTGTAGAATGGTATCTAATCCTGATTCTAGGGATTGATATTCCGGATGAATTATTGTCGACTGAGTTCTCAGCTGTCCGACAAGTTCAATCATGTTGTCTCTGGTCACATCCTATCATATTGCATGACATGTCAGAGTCCTATCTCATTTTATCGTTTCCGGCCAACAACCCTATCCACTTCAAATCTTATCTGTTCTTATCCCATTGCATTACATCTGATTGGCGAGCCTGTGCCGCATTTATTTTGACAAAATCGGCCTCCATGTGGATGATCTACAGGATTCACCGCACTCAATCACATCGTGTCCTGTCCACAACCCCTCCAATCCCCTTCCATCCTGTCTTCTCCCGTCCCATCAGATCCAACCTCATCTTAGTGCAAATCAATGATGTCTGATCTGATCGATGGAGAGTGGAGACGACTTGTCTCGTATCGTTGATACAGGTTTTGTTTCACTGAATGATTGCTTTTTACAGTTGACATGAGAAATCGCAAATGTACCCATCGCAATCCAGTTGATGCTGGTTATTATTTTATTATAGTTATAAAGTGTTATTGCTGCCACCTGGATAGGAGGTGGTATCTCGGCATGTTAAGTGGATGGTAGGAATTAAAGTGTTATTGCTGCCCACCCACCGGAATAGGAGGTGGCGTCTCGGCATGTAAGTGGTTGGTAGGTATGTTGGTGGTCTGTTTTTCTGCTCTGCTTTGCCCATTGATCTGTGTTGCTATTGCCTATTTTTTGGGTGTTGATGATTATTGCCCTTCTTGTTGTCCTTTCTTGAACAGGGCATGGGATTTCTTGCAGGCCTGTTACTCCTATACATGGGTGAAGAGGATGCATTCTGGCTGATGGTTGCTCTGCTCAAAGGTGCCAGACATGCTCCAATGGAAGGACTTTACCTGGTGAGATGAATGACACTTGCCAACCGTCTATCCAAACCTTGTGTCGAATGGTATATCATATATGTTGAATGGTATCTATGAGTGGACATCAGAATGAATGGATTATAGGAACATTTATAATCGGAATGAAATTGAATGAATTAGTCATGCTCAAGTTGCTAGGACAGGTCGGAGACACAATGCCTAGCTGACCATTTTGCACGAATAACTGCAATTATCTCTTTTTGTTGATCAACAATAATTACAACATCTGGCAAATTTTTCATGTATTTCAGTCCACCTAAATATTTTGGCAATTGATTTAATTGCCTTTTTAGATGTGCTGCAGACTGGTGTTGTGCTACTTCGGCAGGATTTTGGGGTTGTTGTGCCGTTTGGCAGGATTTTGGGGTTGTGCCCAGCGCCTGACCAAAGATAGTACGGTGGGTGGGGATGGATGGGTACTGGATGCAGGTCGGTCTTCCACTGGTGCAACAATACCTGTATCAGTTTGAGCAGCTGGTGAAGGAGCAGATACCAAAGCTGGGTGAACACTTTGAGAAGGAGATGGTTAACGCATCTATGTATGCCAGCCAGTGGTTCATCACAGTTTTCTCCTACTCGTTCCCTTTTGCGCTCGCTCTCAGGATCTGGGATGTTTTCTTGCATGAGGTATGTGACTACGAATCTACCTATCTCTCAACTTCTCTCTCAGTTGTTGTCACAAATCGCTTGGGTGAAGAAAAAAAAAAGGGCGCTAGGTTACCAAGGTCTTGTTGTGAGTTAACGACAGGCTGCACTTGGCAAAGTGCGGCCCTGAGGGCCGACATCCGCTAATCAATATCCAGTGCTAAGAATCTATTTGTGCCAAGAGTCCAAGACCTATTCGATTGCAGTCCATGGGCCTAGATATAGTGCAGTTGGGTGTGGCTGCACAATTGCTATGTTTGTTTGTGATGAGAAGGCTCCAGCATACAGCAATGACCCTGGTGAGGCTTATGCTAGCTCAGCACAAATGTTGCACCAATGGGGCCTGCCCCTCAGGATCAGGCTCCACTGGTGCCATGCTTATCCTAAGATAGCACGATGGTGGGCCAGCTTTTACGACCATAGCACCAGTGGGTGTGGCCGTTAGGGCCAGGCCCAGTTGAGGACCAGGCCCCACTGAAGTACGCCGGCTTCTGCATTCAAAAATTTAATGCCTGTTATGATGAAGAGTTCATTTCTCGTTACCTGATATAGAACGCCAGATCTGCATGCGAAAGATATGGTTCACTGCGGTCACTGGGGTCTGATGACTCTGAGCCTTAGCGAGATGCCTGCCTGGGCAATCCGTACGTCTCCGCAAGGGGACCTGATGGTACCAGGTGCTGGAAATGAACAGAAGATAGCATTCGTTGGGTTTCGGAACGAAACAAATGTGGTGGCTGCCCCCTTCAGGACCAGGCCATGTTATGCAAGAGTATGGGCCTCACTCCACTACCTTCGACATGCACAAAAGACAAAAATTGTGGTGGTGTATCTATCTTTTCATGTTCTATCGCAAGATTCACTCTCGTTTTGCACATAGTGGACCGAGGCCCGGCGCCAAGTTAGCATGGGCGTTCAAAATTATAATACATGTTATAAATCCCCGGTTTCTGCCCTTCGGTACGACGCCGCATCTTTGCCGGTTCGTCTTCGGTTGGAGTCCACAAATACATGATGGAAGCTTTCCATCTAGGAGAACGCAGCTGTGGTGTTCATGGGCGGATGTGTTGTACACGTCCTGCCAGATTGCACATACCTGGAGGAATTTCTATGTTAAAGTATAGCTATCCTTGTGATGTCTTTCCCTTTCTGGAGTCATTTTCGAAGATGAATTTTATGTGACAACACATGGACATGACGCACAGAATAGACACATGCGACCATACACACAGATACACACCGGCAGTACCAATCACAAAACGAAGGGGCCAACATATACACACCATATGAATCTAGTCCTTTTTGGGAGGTGGAAGTGACTAAGGGGAAGGAATGGCAGTGTTTTTTCGTCCTTTTTTTTGTGTTTGTTTTGGTGCGTGTTTGTTTTGGTGGTACAGCTACGTTTCTCTATCTCACTTGAAACTTCCTTAAGGGGACCCAAAATGTGGAGAGCCAGTGGTCGGGGGGTGGTTATGACCCCCTTTTGCCTAAGATGGGTGCAATCCTTGCAGTATGGAAGGTGGCTTGATGGAGGCCGCTGCTTGCCCTACATTTAGGGGCTGTGCCGCTGTGGAATGTTCTTGGCCCATTTATGGCTGCAGATGTTGACGTGGCAACCAATATGTGGCTGTGTGCTCGTTAAGCGACTGCTGAGGGACGCTTGTAACTCTGTGCCCACCTTTGTTATTGACCTTGCATCCCAGTGGCCGGTTATATGTCCCGCCATCTGAAAATCATGAAGTAGAAAAAGGGAAAAGTAGACGATGGATTGGTCTCTCATCATGATTTGGCATCGCTGGGACCTTTCTTTTTCGTTAGTGGATTCTAGTTTCGACTAAGCGACTCGTCATAAAATATCGGGAAAGAAAGGAAGGTAAAATGGCGTGACGCGGACAGAAATGCACAAGTCGTTTGCTTCGTTTTGGAGAGTAAGTGAATTGATGAACCCGGAAGGAAAAAAAAAGGGAAAAGAGAGAGAGAGAGAGAGAGAGAGAGAGAGAGAGAGAGCTCTTGTGAGGCTTGATGGAAGGAAGGAAAAAGACGAAAACAGGGAAGTGGCTTTGAAGGTGTTAGGAACTTCATAGTTCGAACCGTTAGGCATTGACAGAAGTGGATAATCCATACTTTTTTTTCTTTTTTCATGCTAATCTTCTCTGTAGCGGTCGAGGTTTTTTTTTTTTTTTTTTTTTTTTKTYTTCAGCCATCCCAGGAAAAGTGGCTGGTTTGGTTCTGTTTTTCTTTCCTTTTCTTCTTTCCAGAAGGAAGGTGAGAAAACACTGAGAATGTATTTGTGACCCGTCTTTTCCTTCGCCTCCACTTGGCCCCTCACTGTTGTTTGTGGGAGGCCCTCTTTATTTTCCTTTTCTTCCCCCATCCTCTCATACTCCCCCCCCCCCCCCCCCCCCCCTCCCCTGTCTCCCTGCCCCTTCTACCCCTCTCCACAGGTTACTCCTCTGTGTGTTTTTTGGGGGAGGAGGGGGACGTGCGGATGCATGTCTTTCTGTATTTTTTGGATTTTTTCCGTCTTAATCATAAATATTAGACTGGTAACGAAAACAAGGTTTTCCAGGCTGAGACAGCCCATCAAGATTTGTCTGCAAGGAAATGCTCAAAATGCCTTTTGAGAAAGAAGTCTCCATTACAATTGACGGCTTGAGGAGGAGGGATGGTTCTCCCGCCAGCTGTATCCCTGCCTGATCTCGTCTGTACAATAATGGAAGATGATCTTTATTAACCGCTTTGAACTTTTATCCTCCCTGCAGCGATCAGTAAAGAGCTTTGACTTTTAGGAGAGGCCTAGTAACCATTGGTGCCCTTCCTCTCTCACTTTGTTGTCATTCTTAGTTGGCAGTTGTGGTGAGGAGGCCTTCTTTGTCATTTTCGGGGTAGGGGTAGGGGGAGAAAGACAGAGAGAGAGAGGGAGAGAAAGGGACAAAGATTCTCCCGTGCTCTACCGCTGAGGGCATTTTCCTGAAATGCCAGCCAGGGGGTTATTGCTTCATGTTTACCTCCTGTGCGGACCACTGGAGCACATGTGCCACTTCTTGCTTGTCCCCTTTTCGAGTTCGCTTTCTTGTTTTTGCCTTTTCAAGCTTTCTACCAAATGTGATTCTGGGTAGTTCGTGGGGGGCACTTTTGGGCACATGCTGTCGGGTCTTAAAAACTGTGTGGATGGGGTGGATTGAGGTGTGTCTCTCTTTCGATTGGATTGTTAGACTTGCTGTGCAGCCAATGGCGAAGCAAGCGCTGTATTCCTACGTCTGCTCCCTTGTCTTGACTCTGTCCGCATTGATGCGTCTCTTCCTGTGTTTTGCTCCCTTTGCTGCATCGCCCCCTCTTTCGCCCCCTCTTTCACCCCCTCTTTCGCCCCCAACAGTTCATTACTGTGTAAACCACCACTAGCTTTCAGAGGTGAAGGCTAGGTCGTGAATATAACCCATACCGCATTCTCCAGAGGCCGGGCACCACCAGACGAAAATGGCTGGCGGCTCCAGCCAAAACGAAAGAAAAAGGGTTGCGCTGGTGCTTTGGCAAAGCTTGGCACGCAGTTCCACTCCGCCTTGTCAAAAAGAGGTTCTGCTGTGCTGAAGTGCAGTGTTTGTCTGCGTGCTCCTGAATTATGTCTCTTTTCCTCTGAAGATCCACGTCAGGGCTATGGCAGATTACACACATGATATTAGGTACCTGCCTTTGTGGCCTAATGTTACGTACATGTGGCCCTTAAACCACCAGCGCACCCGGGCCTGGTGGCACCTCGCTGCACACCAAGCTTTGCCGAACCGCGGGTAGTGCACTTCTTTTCTCTTTTGACTGGCACCAGTAGCCATTGTGTTCCAGTAGCCCCAAGCCTCAGATATTTTCGCAGGGGACGAATTTCACAAGGCTGGGGCCATGTACTGACAGTTTAAACCACCACTACGTCCGAGTTTTTACGGATCTGAAGTTATGCTGCGTGCCAAGAAATAAAAGAACTTGGATGCGGCTCTTTTCTCTTTTGCTGGCGGTGCCACCTATTTTTCTCCAGTAGCCCAACCCCCCCGAAAGTTTGGGGGGGGTGCGAAGTTGCAAACTCGCTCTTTTTTTTTTTTTTTCTCGGGGCACGTAGCGGTGGTTTAATATGCAAATCGCTAGTTATCACAGTTAAAAAAAGAAAAGAAAAGAACCCCAGTGTTGAAACCCCAACTATGTGCATGCAACCTTTTGGGTTTGGTGTGTTTTAAATTTTTGCCTAGCAAGGCTAGCATGCCATCTCCCTCAACTAGTCGGCCTTCAGCAAGGTTCTTTCGTCAATGACAGATCCATATTTGAGAATATCTTGGCCACGATGCAAGGGCTAAAAGTCATCAGTAAAGAGAAAGAGAAATTGCGGTGCGCCTTCTTGACATGGAGAAGGCCTACGGCAAGGTAGGCTGGGCTTTCATCGTCACCACCCTGTCTCACGTGGGGTTCGGAATAGCGTTCCGTAAATTAGTTAAGGGCCTTAAGGCTATATATTCCCGAGCTACGGCAATGGTGAACGTGAGTGGTTGTCTGTCGGACTCCTTCGTTCTCTCCCACTCTCTCCGCCAAGGTTGCCCCTTAGCCCCCCTTCTCTTTGTCGTCCAGCTTGAGGTATTACTTTACAGAATCCGACGTAATGAGAGCGTTGGCAGCCTATGCATCTGAGAGTTAAATCTGTGAATGCCGTTAGCATCACAGGAATGGACTGCACTGCACTAGGTATCTTTGTGTGGATGCAAGAAGGGCACTCTGATTAGCACAGGGTTCAGCCCACATTATATTTCATTCAAACCATTTTGTGTGCACGGTTATGCAACCCCTCGGCACTGCCGTGCATCATTCTGTATGTCCGCTGCGATGTGTTTGTTGCCATTGCTCCTGCTCCCTGCAAAAATTATTTGTGGGGCACACAGGTGGGCTTGCAGAGGGGTGGTTGAATGATGCTGATGGGTAATGTTGGGATATAGGGGGGGTTGCTTGGC